AAAAGGATAAGAAAGAATATATTGACTTCTTAATGAATCCTTACACCGTATCAGCACCTTTCCTGATTCACTTAAACCAATCACATGGAGTTAAGTGCGATGATTTTTTACTTTTTCCCATTTCCAAATGAATAAATAGCTATAAAAATCAATATCTGCTGGCTTAGTAGTAAAAATATCAAAACTGTGTACATGAATTACTCGTATGGCATAGGTTTGATTCTCGAAGCACCATGTATAAATAGTTGATCACCCGCTCGAGCCTTGACTAGTAAGATACCCGGTCCATAAGCATATTAGGGTTTAGAAATTACCTATCTAAAATGGCTTTGTCGTTTCATTGGATTATTGAAATCAAATATTAATGATTTGATTGCAATATCTATTAAATTTTATGTCTATCGATGGAATTTATCCCATAAAACTACACAATACAAGTAAAAATTACTTGGAAATTTTGAGGCCCTAATATGATCTTCAAGCTCTACGGTCGTAGATGGTAATGCATGTTGGCTAGAATGGAAAAAAGAACCTAAAAATTAAAAATGGAGTAAAGTTGAAATTGGAAAAAATGACCTCAGCTTGGAGCTGATCCACCTTGACACATCAAATAAAAAAGAAGAAAAATTATATAATTAGAGTACTATCGTTGAACCACTGGGATTTGCCTCAGTGACCACTCTTTCTACTTGGGAAGGGAGAGGTGGAGAATTCGATTCCCTATCTTCTTAGGGGCTAGAGGTGGGAGTGTTTAGTTTTAGGTATGGGTTTCGACTTAAAAAGTCATAACAAAAGTTTGAGAGTGTGTTGAAAGTTACAGTAGGAGAGACAAAAAAAAAACATTGTCATTGTGGAAATTTTGTTTTTTCGAGGAAAACACTTTAATTTTTTATACTCCTTAAAATAAAGGAAAAAAGTGGAAAATCACATAGATGGTCTCGTGAGACAATTACTATAAAAACCCCAACCATCTTATATTATACTCAATAAGAGTATATTTCTATTTTTTCTGTCATATTTGAAGTCGTAACATGAAAAGAACCATGAAACCCTACCATATTTTTTAGAGATACGTGCACTGAAAATCCTAAAACTTGTCACAAAAGTGTAATTGAGTTCTAAAACTTGCAGAAAGTATAATCAAGTCTTAAAATTTATCAAATTGGAATAATCGAGTCCATCCATTAACTCTATCCAATTTGTTTAACAAAAAATACTGACGTGTTTTTTTAATTATTTTTTCCATCTCACGTGGTGATGATGTGGTTAAAACAACATCATTTTGTTTTAATTCTGATTTTTAATACAAATTTTATTTAAAATCAATTTAAATATAAGCTAAATTCAAAAAGAGGGAGAAACTAGATGGGTAGTGAGGCTGCAGCCTTTGCCGCCGCCACCCTACCCTCGCCGAGAAGGCCGGCTAGGGTGGGGAATGGTTGGTGGGGGTCGCCATGCCTCAGCCAAGGGCTGATGACCCTCACCAACCGCAAGCAAGGGCCTGTAGTGGCCCCGGCCCAAATTTGGATGAGGTTACGGCCGATCCCTGCCAATGGTGGCCCTCGACTAGGTCTAGGTGAGGGCCACGACTCTCACCTAGATCCAAGTGAGGGCTTGCAGGCTCTTGCATGAGGTTGGTGGCGAAGGCCGCAGCACTCCCCGCTTGCCTGGTTTTTTCTCCCTTATTCCTTTTTTTTATTTAAAAAATACTTAATTTTAAATTGAATTTAAATCAAATTTGTATTAAAAATTAGATTTGACCAAAACGAACATCATTTTGGCCATGTAGGATAAAGAAAGTAATAAAAAAAATTATGTCAGCATTTTCCGTTAGTTAAATTGGATAGACTTAACGAAATGACTCGATTAAACAAATTTAACAAGTTTTAATACTTGATTACACTTTTTGTAAGTTTTAGGACTTAATTGCACTTTCGTGACAAGTTTTAAGACTTCTACTGCACATATCCCTATTTTTTAAGGAAGAGCTATGCACCATGCCCATAACAATGTAAGTCCCTTCAAATGGAATCTTGCAAAATTGATTTCTAAAAGTTTAAACCATCGATGACCAAAAATATATTTCTATTTCAATACTCTATCAGTAGGATAATCAGAGTTCATTCGAAGTGAGCTACCTAGTAAAAAATGTTCGAAAGAAATATTATGAATTGGTGAGGCATAAAAGTAACGATTCACGCATGGCCGAGTTGGTGGGCGCTTTCCTTCCCTCTTCAGAGATTCTGGGTTCGAATCCCCGCTCGGTTCCGTAATTTAAGTGGGGGCCCTGGCGGTAGGTTGCTGGGCTAGTCTCCCCCGAGGTATAGGTGCTCCGATTACCTGTGCGGGCTCGTCCCCGGGGAATGGTGGCCGATCCTCGGTTACAAAAAAAAAAAAAAGTAACGATTCGCACATATATATGCGTGTGTAAAAAAGAGTATCATGGCTTGATGTCATAAACTTTAACTCTAACACCTTCTTAAGATCGAGTAAAGTATACACACACAACCAGTATAAAGAAAACTTTACACAAGTGAACTAATTCACCATTGATATGAGGGTTTTAATTGCTTGGTCTCTCGTTTAACCATCATTCCAATGATAGATAAAACCGCTTGTTGCAACTTTTTCTTACCATGATGTATGAATAATCGGTCTAGCTATTGTCCCCTTCTTTTGCCATAAATGTTTAAAGCTTGACTTATTCCTTCTCTATTGATGGCCTCCCTTAAGTTTTTAGTAACAACAACTGGAATACTCGATACCAATATGTATTTGCCTATTTTGAGATATACGTGTGAGTTGTGTTAGAAAATTTAATATTGGAGAATTAGTTTGGTGTGAAGTAGTTAAATGCTTTCTAGTTGGTCCATAACTCATTGGTAAACCTATCAAATGGGTGGGTCGGGTCATAAATGATCCGACCCAAATTAATCAATTAACTCATTTATTTATAATACAAATTTCTCGACTCATATCTGATACGACTCATATTGCTAAAACGTTTTTATATTTAACTTGATATAGAAAACTTGTTTCTTATGATTTTAAAAAAAAAATTATAGTGCTCAAACACTTCCATGCAATACAAATTTAGTGGACAATTCTTATAATTTTTTTGAAAGAATGATTTTTTTATATTTTTATTTCTTTCTTTTCCTTTTTTCTTTCTACCTTCGGTGAGGGCAGTGAGGCCCTCGACTAGATCTAGCGAGGGCTTCACGACCCTCGCTTGGTGTTGGCAAGGGTCGCCGTTGTAGAAAAAAAAGAAAAGAATGAAAGAATAAAGAAAATAAAATTAAAAAAATTAAAAATGACTTGTCTATGATTTATTTAAACTTGTTAGGTAACCCCTTTATGACTCATTTAAAACCCATTGAAGATCCATTAAGTTGTTAGATAACTCATTTATGACCCACTTAAACTTGTTTTCAAAAGTTAAGGCAATCTATTTATTTATTTATTTATTGTCATAAGGGTAATCCATTTATGACTTACACAATTAAATATGAGTCAGAATATGGGTTCTATATACATTTTGCCACTTTTACTCATTGATTTAATTTTTTGAGTAAAAGTGAATTTAACTAGATATATTGACGGACTTAGACTTGAGCTCTCTCTTGGTGATTTCTCTAGATGAAGATATCAGAGTTTTGTTGCACACTCCCAACAAATGATATTAGAACTATTGATTGATTGGTAGCCACTTCTAATGTGTTAAGTTACCAACTTCCTTGGCCTTCCATCACTAGGCAGGCGCTAGCCCCGTTACATGGTGTTACGACTCTGCAGAGACCTATGTTTTTAGTAAACATTCACTTGGGCTTGACCATTGTGACCCCTTTTGTGAGATCTCAATGAAGAAATCTCTAGACCAACGCGGTTTCTAGGCAAGCCTCCATGGTTCAATTTGGTGAAAGAAATTAAAGGTGAAGTTGGAGTTGTGGTGTAGCAGTTTCTAGCAAGCCTTAAGAGTTTGATATGGCGAAAGAGATTAGGGGTGAAGGTGGGTGTTTTGGTGGAGCTTGTGCAAGAGAATAGGGATAAAGGTGGGTGTTATTGGAGATTCGAGTTGAGACATATTGATGTAAAATGATACATGAATTAAAGGAGAGCAGATATAACACGGAGCTCACATGTAAGACGAAAGATATTCGAGGTTGAGACATGTTGATACAAAATGATTCTTGAGTTAAGGGGGAGTAGACCTAATATCGAGCTTACACGTGAGAGGGAGATTGTTGAAATTTACGTATGAGTTGTGTTAGAAAAGTTTTACATCGTAGAATTGGTATGGTGTGCAGCAGTTACTATATTTTAATTGTTACATAACACATTGGCTTAAGTTATTGAGTGAAGGTGATTCCAATTGGATATGCTGATGGGCACGAAACTAGACTCCTTCTTGGTGATCTCCTTGGATGGAGGTATCCAACTTTTACTGTGCACTCCCAACACCCTTTGTGCTTCCTCTTTTCTTATGACCAAATCATACGTGCCGTCGTCTAGACTAATGAGCACATCTTTCAGCTACATAGTTGTTGAAACTTTTTTGCAACCGAAAAGCAAGTCCATGGTGATGGAGATTCATTTCGAAGTTAATAATGATTCACATTTTCTAATTTTTGAATCGGAATTCATTTTTTTTACTAGAATGACTTAAGGTCCGGCATGATTTGCAACATAGATGTAATGGAAGAATGGGATTGTCATTGTGATGAGGGTTTTGCATTCATTTAGAGAGCTTTGGTGAACAATTCCTGAAAATTATGCTTCCTCATGTCTCGGACTTAAATTGAAATTCGGCAGAACAACAACAAAACAATGCGAGGATGCTTAAGGCGAAGACCGTAGAAAAGGCATGGGACAAACTATGGAAGGAGTACCTTGGCTGTCATTCAGCCTGATTTTACAGTAATATTCTAGCGAAACTCTTGTATCTATGTTGCATTTACCTTAAGTTAGGTAATATATATTTGCGGATTTGATCTAGAAAAGAATTGGAAAGCATATATGATTCATTACTGTCTAGCTACAAGGAAGAGGAAACACCTTACAAGTATATGCCCCCATCACTAAAGAAAGTTCTGCAAAATTTTAGTGTACATGCCCTAAGAAACTTCCCTATTCTCATTGCTGCCATTTTTTTTTTCTTGGTTCTTCTCTTACTGTATCATATCTAACATACGGTAATATCTTTCTATGTACATTCAAATCGATTGGATGAAGGTTGTGGAAATGAATGATTCAGTACCAGAAAACATTCATTCATCTCAGATTATTTCACAAGTTATGTATGGGCGGCTTCTTCCGTGCCGGAGTATAATCCATTGAAAACAAGTCATTTGCGTCGGCTGGTTGCCCTTCTTTCGCCACAAGCGTTTCCGTGTGACTTGTTCCTTCTCCACCGACACTCTCCCGCAAGTTTCGAGCTACATAGCAAGCAAAAGAGAAGCACTTGATGATTCAATTCAACATGTCCACAAGAGAGAGAGAGAGAGAGAGAGAGAGAGAGAGAGAGAGAGAGAGAGAGAGAGAGAGAGAGAGAGAGAGAGAGAGAGAGAGAGAGAGAGATTACCAGTAGCAGTAATGGAGACGAAACAAAGCAAGACGAACACGAAGAGAACGAGATGTTTGCATGGAAGTTTGGCCATGTTAGACTCTTTTTGATTTTTCTAGCTATAACATAGCAATCACCACTAGTTCATAGCTTTCTTCTTTGGGTTTTCACTGCTTTATATACATGGACTTTATTAGAGGAGCGATATAAGGGTAGACAATAGACAGGTTCTTTCAGGTTGACTGAGACTTGTGTTTTTGTATGCAAATAAGAGTGTCAACATTAATGTCTCCTCATCTGTCTTGCATGATAATGCGAGTATGGCCCTCTGTAGGCATATGTGATGTTATTGCTATCTTCTTTCGAAGGGGTCTCTCTGTCTGTTCCCTCATAGCAATCCCCTTTTTGTGTGTAGACATTCTCAAGAAAGAAGAAAAACTACTGTATGCATTCTCCCCATTTTACATCTCTCTTTTACTGACGTGAGAATCGACCTAAGTCTTTTTATTCTTATTTTCGAAGTCAGTAGTACCTTCAATTCCTGAGCAAGTAAATAATATAAGTCAGAAGGAACGGATAAATTCTTCCGCTGATGAAGCCGTTGCTATGTAGTATATAACAGTCATATGTCGAGAACAAAATATAGCAGTCTTTTTATTGCTGAATGATCATCGTTGCAAAATATAGAAATAGAGTAGTGTCCCATGTTCCGAGAACAAAACAGCTCCGGGAGAAAACCCCCGAGCCCTCTCTTCATTTTCCTTGCGTTAGACCATCCGTGGCCCATACATTTGAGACGTTGACCTAAGTTAAGGCTGTAATAAAGACGAGAATTCTATCAAATGCTAATCCTTTTGTGGGAAACCTTCTTTGAATTTAGTTTCCTTTCACATCAGATTCAAACTTACTGTCAAACTCATTCAGCATAAGTAAATGAACCCTAGATGCCATTACTGTCTAGTTTGGATCTTTAACCGTCAACATAAGCTCAACTTGAAAATAACCCTAATCCTATTATATGGTGTTTGAATTAACTACGAGACGCTCCTCCATCTCAAGGAGAGAGCTGATTAGACAAGCCTATGTGGATCTAAAGAAGACCTAGGGTTTTCGACAGCTCATACTATTTGGACTCCATTTAACCATGAACATGTGGATAAATGCCATTCATCCAAACAATCCGACGTGTCTTGCCCTGGTTGGTGGCTGGACTTGTACCGAGACAAAGAGACCACACAAGAAGTTCGAGCAGTGCACAAGATCTGTGGGCCTCAAAGTTCAGGATCTTGCTTAGCAGAGCATCCATGACCCTACATTTGCAATCCCTCATAATTGACTATGTCCCTCTTTGAACGTGATGTGGTTGTCCTCACTTGTGCAATTAATGAAAGTTCCAGGAAGATAACAATGCATCCAACATGGTTGGTTAGGAAAAGAGTGTGCAATTATGATCGACTTGATTTGATCGAAAACCATGCTTTGGTTGATTAAATGGCAACTAACCATATCTAAATGTTAAGAAGAAGGCTGAGGGACAATGGTGGGGCTACTATCGTTTTCGGACGATGCAATCGAACGATACGATAGCATAATCACATGGGGCGCATCGAATATTGTCTACTAGGTGGCCCTGAACTTGTCCTCAGATTATGTAGAGTAGTGGGCGCATGATTTGCCAACGATTATAGCTTAAGATAGCGACGCTAATGGACGGAGTATCATCGACTAAAGGGCCCTCGTTTTGTAATTTGTCGAGTTTTAACCTTTTAGACATGGTTTAGAAGTCGTTAGGGCACCCGGTCAAAACCGAAAATTTGATCGACATCACCGTGTCACTGATTCTTGATCTTGCATTGAAGGTGATCGACTCGATCTATGGATAATTTAACCCTTCCGATTTAGCCTTAGATCGGACCTGATGGAGATTATGCTCTTGTTCTTTGTATCCATTGGATTGGAACTCTTCGGCTATCTGTTTGAATATTCTGAGGAGAGATACGAGACAAGAGGAAAGATAGTACAAACGTCATCATCTTCATTCCCATTCTATCAAGGTGGTTTTCAATTCATTAACCTTTTTCTTTCTTAAAGAAGTAGACAGTAGCCCTCAAAATTCAAAAGTCCTAAATGGGACCTTAAACTTTTTGTAAAGATCATGTTGAATTTATTCAAGTTTTGAAATCCAGAAATTTATAATTCAAATTCCTCATTGAAAGTGAGGATCAAGCTCTAATGAATTGTGCATCGTGCATAAGTGAGAGTTGAGGTGTATATAAAAGTAAGATTGCACGGTTGACACGATCATTTAAATAATTGTGTAAAGAAAATGCAAAAAAAAAAGAGTAAAAAATTATCAAATCGGTCCTAAACCTATTATACAACTGCCAATTTAATCATAAACATTTTAATTTTTCTAATGTAGTTCTTTACCCTTGCACAAAATTCCAAGATAGTCCTTCAACCAATTGTTGCTGGAAATTGTTGATAGGACGTCTTTTTTCACTAGCCGTCCTACATGGCACGCCGATATAGATGACTTATGGATTGTCATGTCGGCTATTTCCGACGATAATTGACCGGTAGGACTACATTCGAATTTTGCACAAAAGTTTACAACTATATTGGCTAAATTAAAAAGTTTAGGACTAAATTTGTGGTCATATGCTAAATTTAGGACTGATTAGGTAATTAAAACCCATAAAAGCCACAGTTCGACTCAAGCACCCATTTAGTAGACTACTTGAGTGACTCCATATCCAGTCTGAAATAACTTCGTGGGATGAACGTGATCGATATGCATCACATCAGTTTCTAGTCCTACATGAGAGTTGCCTATCAAATGCAACCGAAGCTATTACTAAAGAACTATACTCTCCTCAATCTTTGGCAGGAAGAAATTTCCTCCGATCACGCCGCTTGTGATTGGCGAGTTACAAATTATGAACGTCATCATTTGCTTATGTTGTATCGTATTAGTCGTGCAATCAATACAAAAAAATACTTTCTTACGAAGAATCAATCAATTGTTGAGTTTGACGAACATGAATAATGTGTCCGAAATCAGCAAGTGAGCTCGGGAAGCGAAAATTCTAAAGGAAAAGGAAAAGTTAAAAGAGATGCTCGCCAAATTTCTACACGAGAGTACCCATGTGAGACTTTTCGTAAAAAATATATTTCATCTGAGAGATGCTAAGACCATTATGTCAAAGATGAAAACCTAAGTGCTCGAGTTCGATGTATGCCCAACGAGTTTCAAGTCAACGCTCAATTACATCGTAATGCATAACCTTGTTAATCAGTTTAAGTATTCCAGATATCACTGCATTGAAATACGTCACGTTCTTATAGAAAGAGTGATTCGAGAAAGTATTGCCGGTCGATCAACCCGGTGGACGAAACCGGACAAGGTTGGGACCCGTTGTGTACAGTTCACCCTCGAAAAAACGATAAAGAGAGTCGAGTCAAGTGATGGTGACGGAGGAAGGAAGGATTTGCTGTGACTCGTTTCCAAAAGAGATTGTGCCCAGTTCAGCAGCCATGGGCTCCACGGTCGCCCCTAGCACGGCCGACAAGAATCAACAAACCCCACTTGCCAAAATGACTTTGGAAAGGTCCGTCTTTCTAAAATGACCTTTGGAAAGGTTCTTTTACTTGTTTGAACTCCCGATTTAGTCGCGAGTCGCCGTCCGATCACGTGCCGATCACGTGCCCGGGGGCGGGATTGGCTCCCGCCAATAAGACGGCCGGTTCACTTCGCGTCACGTGATTCGCAAAGTTTTCTCCATTGGAAAAAGGAGAGAGAACCCAACCCCCGGAAGATGGGGGCAACTCAATTATTGCTGGTCTTGTCTGGTTTTTTCTTCTATGTCCTTCTGATTCTTCGTACTAACGTCGGCTTGATGTGTCTTGAGTCGCTAGCGGCTCAAATATCACGTGAAGGTGTTGGATCGTGTAGCATACTCATCGAACTGTAGATGGTAAGCCATGTTGAACCTGTGAGATGAACTGATGAGTTATCCGGGAATGAATGCTTGATTTAAGACCCTTTGATTAGTCAGTGTCGGACAAACTTACATGATTTTGACGTAGCGAAACCCGGTTACCATTCAGAGGTTTTTTGGGTATTCGACGAACAATTGTGGTTGATTGAGTGAAATCCGATGGCTCCGATATGTGTAAACACCGTTGGTAAAATAAGGTTAAGTCATTTCCAGAATACAGCGGAGCCACGAAATTAGGAGAAAAGAGAAACACTTGTTATATCATTAGATATCGAACTTGAAACTTTTGAAAGCGGAAAAACTTTATTGGCCGTGTCGAACAAACTTACATAATCCATATAGCAAAACCCGAATACTATGGGAAAAGTACCAAAAAAGTCAAAAACCTATTGCATTGGTACCAATTCAGTCCATCCAGCTAATTTAGGTCGAAAATCGCTAACGTAGACAAATTTTGTAATTTTTTCAGATCTTTTAATGTTTTGTTTCTTTTTTTCTCTTTTCTTTTCTTTGTTTTTTCTTTTTCCGAAAACTGTTGGCCGGCAAGGTTGCGGGCCACAGGCGAGGGCATCATGGCCCTCACTCGTGGCGGGTGAGGGCTGCGACACCCTCATCGGCCAACAGATGAGGGTTTCGGCCCTCGCTTGGATTTGGGCAAGGGCGCGGCGGCCCTCGCCCGTGGCCAACCTGTGGCCGGCGAGGTCACCGACCAACAGTTTTTGGGAAAAGAAAAAAAAAAGAGAAAAACATTAAAAAAATTTGAAAAAATTATTAAAAAGTTATAAAATTTGTCTACGTCAGCACCGGCGGTATCACATAGAACTGCCGATGTCCACATCAGTGATTTCCCACCTAAATTGGCCAGATGGACTGAATTGGTACCAATACAAAAGGTTTTGAACTAAATTGGTCCAATTGAAAAGTTTAGGACTGAATTGGTACCAATACAATAGGTTTAGGACTTTTTGGTACTTTTCCCCGAATACTATTTATAGTCATTTTCGTAATTCAACGAACAAATATGGGATTGATTGAGTAAAAACCGATGACTTGGATACGTGTAATCACTACTTTTTCAAGTAAGATTGAGTCATTTCATAATACAATGGAGTTACTAAATCAGAATAACACACTTGTTATTTCATTTTGATGTTC